TCTCGGGACTCGATCGCGTCACGTGTGTGCTTTTCTCATTCTCGTAAAAAAAGAACTTCTCCCTCCCATTAAATCTCTTCGTTCCCCTTTTCTCTGCGTTTATTTTTACGTATACATTGAGCCGAAGAAGATTCAGCGATCTTTCGTTCGCATCGTCGAGAGAACAACGGAAGCATCCTCGAAACCGGAACCACGAAACGTTTGTATCCTGCGATATTCCGTTACCGAGATCGAAATATTCTGGCAAATACACGACCGTGCTTCGATTTTAATTTTACTTTTTCTGAGTGTCCGACTTCAGCGCTTTCGAAGCGCTGCGATTGATTCGCGAAGAAGATATAATTACCTCGATGGAAGTCCTAATATCGTTCCTTCTCGTTACCGAATTATTAAAACATAATTGTATTTTATAAATAATGTGCTTTCGGTGAAATGAATCTTGATTCTGTCTTTTTACTTGGAGTATAATGGATTTGAATTTCCCGCCAATCAAACTCCTCAACAGCAATAAACGATTAATAATTCAACAATATAATAAATATGAATATTTCACTGGTTCTTGTGTAAGGTACGTTTTCATGTGGCAAACAGTGAGTTTTACTATCATTACATTCATCATGGCTTTAATATCATGAAATTATTTATCACTAGGTATTTAAGGTTAAGACATCATGTAGGGATACTACGAAACAAGTTACATAACATTTAAAAAATAAACATGAACAAAATGGCACTTATAGAGAAATTTGAATTGTTAACTTATTATGTTTTTACTTATAATTTCACATAAAAAAGTACCTGTTTGTTAATTGTCATAAAATTATTATTATAATTAGAACTTCCTTTGTTGGTAATTATGTACTCTTCCGAACATCTCATTCTTTTAAAACGTTCGTTCCTAATCACTGCTCGAACCGTATGCTCTTTTTTTAGGACTTGTACAAACACCTGTAATTTTAGTAAACAATGCAATCAAATTTTGATAAATATTATCATAGGAGCACGTAATTATTTGCCAAATTTTCTTATATTTTTAATTTTGTTTGCTTCACTTGTTAATAGAAAGAGTGAAAATGTGAAAAGATTAGAAAGAACAATTGCGAGTATAATCGCAAAGATGGGCTCCTTTCATTTTTGTTTCGTTCGTGTGAGAGGGAGGCGTGGCCAATTTACCGATGCGAACCGACCCGAGCCGAAGTGGAGCACGAATGAGTTAGCGTATCCTTTCACTTCGCCAATCGTAACGAAGCAACCCATCTTTGCAGGCAACTGTACATTAATGTTAACCGATTAGTATCAATGGTACAGATTGTATGGCTAACGATAAGCTTCTCTAGAGAAAGTGGTGATATAGAGTAAGAAACTTCTCCTTGTTACAATACTCGACAATTTTCACAGTACTCTCGACCATTTTCAGTAAATCACACATTTTCAAATTTGCAAATTATCAAATTTCTACACTTCTAAAATTCCAAATCTTCGGATCCCCAAATTTTTAAATATCCAAATTTCTGAACTTCACAAATCCCAAAAGTTCCAAATACCCCATTCCCAAATTTTCAACTTCTGAATTTTTCAAATCCCTGACTTTCCAACTTCCCGAATCTCTGAAATTTGCTAAATCCCCAACTTCCTAAAGTAAGTTTCAATTTCCCGAACTCAAATATTTTTAAAGTCAAGAAGAGATGAAACCTTTTCTCGTATCGCCATTTTCTCTAACAAAGCCCTAAAGTACATTCTGCAATAATTCGATGTCTACCAAAATCTATTTGTCAGAAAAAAATTATTCATATTACACCTACTTCGTCACAGGTGTCTGTACGCACCCTAATCCTACATTCCTAAATCTTTCTTTCTACGGTCTCCTCATTTAACGTTAAATGATTCGTCACGATTACGGTAGGTAGATCTACTTGGGATCGAAAAGGTTGAAGGAAGGGTAATTTGTAGGGAACAGGGTGTTTGTTGGAGAGGATATTAACGTGAGTACATCTCGTGCGTAGACTCGCATGCTCGTTTAGTTTACGTACGGCGATATTTATAGTAATGATAGTACTTTAGTTTAATCGATTAGCGGTACAGTGTTTAATACGAATACGATTTAATCCTCTTTTTCTCGGGGTTTAGATCCAGTTTTCTTTTTTCTTCTAAAACGAAATCTATCTCGCCTTCGTTACGGACGTCTATTTGTTTCTTTTCTACGAATTTCTTTCTTCAATATTTAACAAAATGTCTCGTTTATTTTTTTGGGGGGATTTTCTTCTTTAATTTGCTATCAATCTCGTTTCCGATACGTATTTTAAATTCTTATCAAGCTACTATCAAAATCCTTTCTTTTTTATTCTTCTTCTTTTCTGTCCTTAGAGCACGGTACAACAGATTTTTCTTCCCCTTTTGTTCTCATATACATATATATTTGTATATATATTCATATGTATATATATATAATATATTCGTTACTTTTAATAATATATATAATACGGTATTATTGTGTACACTATGATTTTACAATCGTAAATAGATAGATCACTGGACGATTCGTACAACAGATTTCCCCGCTTTCGTGAAGAATACATTATATGTATATAATAATATATATATCTATATATATATCTGCTTTCTCTTGGTTCGAGTTACGTATATACGTTTTAGCAATCTTTTCTCCCTTTGCACGCCCTTTTTCCATTAAAATTATATGTATATAAATCCTCGTCGAAACTTAACGATTAAAAAGAAGAACAGAAAACCACGAGTAACGAAAAATAGTAGGAAAAAAAAGACAGAAAAAAAAATAGAAAATACTCAACAGGAACATTGTCTGATCGATCGTTCTCCATGAACAAGAACTTATGGAAGACCGAAAAAACACCAACTACAATCGATATACAATATTTATAAACGATAAAAAGAAATCGTAAGAGAAATAAAACACAGGCCAACGTTGGAAATCGAGGTTTCTCTCGAAAGGATCGGAACTCTTTGTACGAATCGCGTGAACACTGGGTTTCGGGGCTGAGGGTGAGGGGCTCGAGGAGAAATTAAAATATAATCAGGCGATAATTTCTATGATCCAAAAAGTTCTTCTGGGTCTCTTTCGTTTCATGGTTTTCCCATTCTAAGTCCTTCACGAATTCTACGCAAGTAATTAGCAACGACTGCCTCTAATATATCTATGGAAAAAGGTCTACCCTGACACCAAATTACGTATTTAATGTACTAACAGTGAGGATTACTCGTCCGGTGGTGCGTCTTTGCTTGACGGTGAACAATCTTTCGGTATTTCGCCCCTTTTCCCTTCTCGTCGGAGAGGTTGCTCTGTCCCGTGGCGAATATGTGCTAAAAGGAAAATAATCGAGAAGAAACGAAAATAAACGGAGGAAGATTCCACGCGAACTCGTCGATACGATCGTGGTTAACATTACGCAGAATTAACGAGACGTATAGCTGGCGAGACTCGAGTTATATTGCCACTTCGAGCACCAATTCCGCAAGGAGACTCAACCTTTATATCCGAGGTTGATTCAATTTTTTCTAGTCAACGAATGCAATAACAAATTCTGCTTTTTGGACTTAAACACGCGCTTTACTATTATCTCACCACATGTATTACCACGCACTATATCACTATTCACTGTACTATCATGTGTCATTATGCACGGAGATTCCTTTGTACTGGCAATATAACGAGAGTCTACTGTATTTTGAGAAAATAGAACAAGAAAATTTGGAAGGTGTAGTTGTACAGATAAATGGTGTTCCATAAAAAACGAATGAAATCTAGATGCAGTCGAAAGTTTTCTATAGTGTTACGATAAATTATCCTACACAATATGGAATATGTGTTTTTAAATACGAGTTTATCCTGCATTAGTAAAAGCCTTAGCGATATTCTCTGAGATCTAAACTGAATATAAGACGCTCGTCGACGAGTCAGCATTTCCGAACCGACCACCCCTAATTTCAAACTAGAATTTTTTAATTCGATATTACACTTTATGTAATACTTTCTCTGCTTCAAAGTGATTAAAACATTAAGTCATCCAAATACACGGAGAAGAATCGCACCAAATTAATCTGTAAGAGCCATACTTAGACAATTTCTAGAAGTACACAGTAATCGATCAAGGAATCTGAAATTTTTTACCAATTTTGCACAAGTATTTTTTATATTAATCGTACAGTCGTAATGGCCGCCACGATCAATCTATTTAAAACTTTATATACATTTAATGTAAAATCTCTTTATAGTCCGTACTAGAAATCGTATCGATATCTGAGATATTATACTTTCTATCGCCTAAGAAAGTGGAAACTTCCCGATAAAATCGATATCTATTCTTTGCATAGCTGCCACTTTGTTAAAATACTTTTTTGCTTCGTTCTAGTAGGGACGGTAACCACATTGAAATAGATTAAAATCATCTTTTATTCTTTTGTATAAGACGAGCACTTCAATGCTAATCATGGCAGCCATAATAACAGTACGCATAGCAAAATATTGTAGCTTCTCGTTAATTAATATAAAACATAATTGTATACAAGTTTCACTATTCATTCTTGCAGAGAATCTTTTCTTATATTCACAAAAAATTTCAAATTTCTTGATCCATTAATTTATACGTCTAAAAGTGATCTATCAAAATGGAAGTATCTTTTCAAGAACTTTCGATCAAACTTTTTCTGCAAAATACATTGGTTGCTTTTCATGGTCTGTCAATAGTCTCCAGGGTGATTCGTAAAAAAATAAACGTTCTTACTAAACCAGTACAGAAAAACCATAACATTTTCCTGTTAGATCAAGCCTGTCCAAAATTGTCTGTGGGAGAGGTTCTCCCATCTTCCACTGTTGCTATGGGAACACAGCTGGGCTATGGGAACTCTGATCTATCATGGCTGCCCCATTCTGGATTTCTAACAGTTTTGTTAGTATCGAAAGTTAGAAATTTGGGGTTTGAAAAAGTGGAGCCTTGGAAGACTTGAGAATTTAGAGAATATAGATATTTAATTTTATGAAGGTTTCAGAATTTATGAGGTTAAGAACTTATACTTCAAAATTTAGAAATTTAGAAAATTTAGTCCCAGAGTTTGTGTGTCACTGTTCACTCCCAGTTCCCACTCCAAAGCCCTTAGCACAGGAAAATATCGAGGTGTCCCTGTAATTACGTTCAGTAACAGTCAAACAAATCTGTCCGAGTCTTCAACTCGTTACAATTCTGTTTTACACGTTTACAAGTCTGTTTGGTACACGTCTGTTTTCTCCTTGGCATCAAAGCCAATCAAAGCAACCAGGTTGCTACGTCAGTTTTCAAACATGGGCGATCCAGGTCGGAGGAACAAATTAAAAAAAAGAATATGAATTCCGTAATGAGCTCGATTAGAATGGTCAGATGAAAATCTCAAAGCGTACGTCAAAACGTTGAAAAAAATTATCTACTAATTGCAACGCGGTGCATGTGAACCACGGTTAATTAACCTGGGAAAAGCAGCTCGGTAAATGGCATCGATTTGTACCGCTAAATTCCTTTCGAGTTAAAGTCGGCACGAATTAGCCTGGACGTACTCGTGCGTATGTAGCTACACGTGGCTTTAGTTGTACGATCAGAAGAAGGTATTCAAGGTATTCGAAGAAGTCTGCGATCGTTCGTTGTTTCAATAAGAGCGAATAAAGAGCCTTGCCGTCGCTCACGCGAGACTAATCGCCTTGTCAATTTTTTTAAAAAAAAGAGCAGTTGAACTTCAATTCCACTTTTAACTTTTGGGGGGCCCTGTACCTTTCCTTGGGTCGATTTTTCATAGGATTTTGATTTCGGTTTCGATTGGGTAAATTCGTAGGACGTTTTGATATCGATAGGTATGGTGCTTAGTGATGGGATTTTTAAAAATTATATATTTCTGGTGATTTTGGAAGTCTTGAGAATAGGATCGATTTTAGTTTCAAGATATGGTAATATCTTATGTTAAAGATTTTAGTACTGACAAATATTGAAAACGTGCAAGTATAAATAATTCAACCTAAGAAGTTCAGTAATTTGGACTTTGAAAATACGAGATCTTTGAAGTTCAAAAATTAGAAAATTTAGAAACTGCATGCCACGAGTACCACTTGCCTGTCCATGCATCACACTGATTTTCGTTTTACTACTAAACTACAACAGCACAAAAATTTCCCAAAATCGTCGAAACTTCCAAAATCACACTATCGATCAAGATTAGATAGAAAAATTTGGGTTTGAAATATTTTACCTCGAAGAGCAGTGAAAACGTAAGGATCTGACAGTGGATAAATTCACAAGATCAAATACACCCATCACTAAAATAACGACGATGATGGAATCGATTGGGTAAATGGCAGCGAAATTTGAAAGATCATCCCCGCGATCGTCCCAGTTCCCCTGGTGATGGCCACTTTGATCCCTCCTCGATCGTTCCATCGCGATTAACAGGAATTCTTCGCCAACCATCGCTTAATTACTCCGCCGCGTTCTCTTCTCCGTCGGGTATTAATTGATCGTCTCGTCGCCAGTGTCGTTAGCTCTAGGCCCGCGACAAAAGGACTCCGAGGGCCGACCCTTTAATCCCGCTCGTCTTCTCTGCGCTCGTTTATTAACTAATTCTAGTGAGTCGGTGTCCCGATGCGCGCGCGATCATCGTTGGCTTCCATCTTGCTTGTGGCAGTTTCATCGTCGCGCCAACTCGTCGTCCCGCTGTGTTTCATCGGCCGATTAACAATATACATTTATACGTTCTAGGAATCAGTCACAGGCTAGGTCCATCCTTTGGCCCAGCCAAAATAAGTACGTAGTTTGAGGGTGTGCTTCTTGCACGCTTTCTAAAAACCTCTACTTCGTGTACGTGTGTTCGTGTGTGCGTGTGTGTGTACGTGTGTCGTTTTCCATTTTCCCCTTCGTTCCTTTCTTCCTTTCGTATAAAAAAAAGAGCAAAAAAAGGATATAAACAAAGAAGCAAAAGAGACAAACACGACATCAAACATCGTCGCTAGTCGAGTTCTTCTTCCACGACCTCGATAGGAGAAAAAAGAAGAAGAAGAACGATCACAAGGTCTTCGAGAACACCGGTCCTTTCCCAAAACGTAGGAAGAGCAGCGCTCCGAACGCGTCCCCGCGGATCTTCGTCCATCACGCTCGAGAATTAGGGACAGGAGCGCGTGTTTTTTTTGTTCCTCTTTCTTCGAGGTCGACCTTCAGCGATCTACCTCGCTTCGATGTCTGCGTGTCTCGTGGTTGGCGTTCCAGTCTCTCCGTTTCTTCTTCAAAAGAAAGACAACCGATCGGCTGGGCTCTCCTATGTGGGCACCTTACTGACCGCCTTCAGGAGATCACTTTGCGTCTTGTCCAAACCGCTCACGTGATGCTGCTGCTGATGCTGCAACGCAGCGTTTTGCTGTTCCTGCTGCATCTTCGCTTGCTTCTCCGCTTGCTGCTTCTTCATCATGTCCTGCTCCTCGCGTTCCCGCCTGGCCTGCTCGTTGATCTCCTTCACCGCCCTCAATTCCTTCTTCAGCTTCATCCGCCGATTCTGGAACCAGATCTTGATCTGTCGTTCCGTTAGACAGAGGGCGTGGGCGATCTCTATTCGTCGCCGTCGCGTCAGGTAATGGTTGAAATGGAACTCCTTCTCCAGCTCCAGCGTCTGGAATCGGGTGTACGTTTGCCGACCCCTACGCCTTGGACACCCGTTCGGTCCTGGAAACGTCAGAAACGCAGATTTGCCTAGGTTAGTTTTTTCATGTAGGATGGCTTGCCACCTTTTAACCCTTTGCACTGCACACAGTCAACTCGCGTACGCTTACCGAACGGCTCCCTCGTATGGTCCTCTCTTCGTCAATTTGCTCTTTTCATCTTTTTTTTTTTAATGGAACATATCAGACAAATTACGGGTGAACATGGCTCTCGAAAATGTTGACTGTCGGCTTACCGTGTAAGCGTGCAAGAAGTGCAAAGGGTTCGTCGATTAAATAATAATAATAACAGCGTGGAGAATAAGTTGAAAATAAAAGAAATTATTTGTACTGACGCACAGGCTTGGACTTGAAGACGAGGTTGACTAAATACTAGTTCGTAGTTCGATATTCCGAAACGAGTTTCAACATTTTACGTAGGATGCAGCTAGATCAATATACTTTTTCTTTATCTCTGTACTACTCTTATTTTTGACCGATTATGGTAATTCACTACCACAATAATAGAAAGCATTTCTCATCGACTAGGATAATAAGTAAGATAAGTTTCACCTTTTAATGTTACAAAATGATAAAGTTCCAGGTCCAAAAATCGCAAGGTTTCGAAGTTCCGAAAGAAGTAATAAGAAAACAAAGTCATCTAAATTTGATATGGACTTAATACTCCCATATACTGTTTCTGTAATTTGAATCCCTAAAACCAGTTCGAGTTACGACCACACAAACGCAAATCGGATTTAAAAGATAGATTTCCATCGCGGGTTGCGATAATTTATATAAACTGTCCGTGTCGTATCAGAAGGGTTGATTAACATAATTTAATTTATTCGGTGCACAATTTCACAGAAAGAACCAGATCGTATTCGGGAAGCAGTAAAATCGTCTGACGTATTTCACATTTCCTACGAACGAATTGCTCCGACTTGGACAAGAAATATGACTACCCCGAATTTCGTTACGTAAACTTCAGTTTTTCCGTGATTTAGAGTGACCTGCAGTTTCGCTCGCCAACTCACGAATCTCAACTCTCTCTTCGCTTTCTCTTCCCGGGAGAAAAAAGCACCGTTCCCAGATGGTCAGTTTATTACAGGGGTTGTGAAGGAGGTAAAAAAAAAAAAAAGAAAAGCGGACGGTAAAAAATAGAAAGTTTCGGAAAAGTCTCGCGCGTGGGACACCGTGTACCCCTATTGTTTGAACCCTTTCTTGAAATGCCTTTTACCCTGTCGAACTTTCTCCGACCCGAAGTCAGAGTCGTAAAACGGGGTACACAGGAAATGCTGAGTTTTTTATGGTGTTTAGGTAGCTATCGAACTGTGGCCTAACCAGGTAAAAACTCGTGTTCGTCATCTGCTGCGTACCTGAAAATATTGCTTTTGACCTGGCATAAAGTTTACTCGATGATGCGACGTCTTGAAAAAATAAGTTTCAAAAATTTTGCGACTATATCACTCAATATCGAATATATATGAGGACAATTGTAGAGGTTGAGCATTTTCAGAAAATTTCAGTTACGAAAGATTGAAAACAATTGTATGAAAAAATAAGAAAAATGTGAAGCAGTCAAACTTTGGGTGATTATAAATGCTTTAAAAATATAGTAAGTCCTATAACCGGTAATTATAGTAATTTCGTAATAAAAGGATCGAAGCAATTTTATAAAGCTGCTTCGTGATATGGTCAGTTTAAAGGACATTACGATTCGCGATTCGCAACAGAAAACATGAGAACGTTGCAAAATGGTACCCCAGATAAATCTCTCGCAGGAGCAATTCTCGCAATTGGCCCAAAGGTAATTTCACTTCTGGCCAACAGCAGAAAAGGGGAGCGGATCGCGTTTTCGGTTCGCCGTCGTCCAAGGAACCGGTTCCCGGTGCAACGAACAGTCAGCCATAATACCATCATTCTCACGGGAAGACGCTGAGTGGCCACATTATTGGCTCCTGACGAAGCAAATACCCGCTACCGACCAATAAAAGATAGCAAGATTTCGCGAAGGGATGGTAAATCGCTCCTCAAAGATCTTCATCGCGATTTCAATCGATCATTTAACTTGTACGGTCGAATCACGTCCTCTGATTCGGACGTGACAAATTTGCATCTAACTTGCAGGATAATTTAATTTGATCTTAGGTATGATTGTACGTTGTACAATTATTCTATACTTTGCGAGATATTATGAAACATTGTAGTATCGATAATTTAAGTAGGATATTAGTTACAATTTACGTGGGACATTAATTGTGATTTACATAGGATGCTGACTACGATTTACATAGAATATTGAATACGATTTACATGGAATATCAAATGTAGTTTGCATTGGTATCATTTACAATTGAAATATTAAGGCAATGCAATTTAGAAAAGAATTTTGCTATTATACAGGTAGATGAATTATTACTCCTAGTATGTCATCCAAGAAAAAATTCGTTCCCTACCATCGTTTACCGTCCAAACAGAGTCGAGCAATTTTTCAAAAAATCCGCAAATTCCAGAAGAATACCTCTGCAGATTTCTCTATTCATCGTGTATGTTCGTTTTCCGGCGTTTTTTCGCGAGCAACCAGAGTAGCTCTGAAATAGTGTGTAACCGGTGACATGCGAGATGAGCCATCCGGTCCTCTTGTCATTCAAAACCGGGCAAAAAAGCACGCGGGAATGCTGGGAATGCTGATATTGAATTCAGCATGGCCGTTCGTAGCAGTGCGGTCCAGGATTCACCGAATGCGTACCGGTGTGTGTGTACGTGTACCCATATAGCCGGCTGCACCACCATCAACCAGTCCGGTCGTTCACGAATTCTCGACCGTTGTGTTCGTCTGCGTGTACACAAAACCCAGGAGGTTTTTCAGCGAGTGCTGGTGAATCGAAGCTCACGTACCCCATGGCCGGTGCAGCCACAGCCACGGGGCGGTTGTGCCGAAGGGTGGGCCATAGGTTACCTTGGCAACCAGAGGGAAAACCATTCCATCCTGCTGGCGGCACATCACGCCAGGGGCGAGTCAAGCAGCCAGAAAACCCTTCGTTGCATTCTCCCTACCTAGGCCAGCTCATGGCCTCGCCTCGACCACCATGGGGGTGAAGTGTCCGCCATAAATATCGTTGGACCATCCTGACCGAGTGCTGGCGCGAGCATTATCGACGATTCTGCTGGATTAAGCTAATGTGCCGTGTAGAATATTTTTAGATAACCGTCTCGCAAGGGCTGCTGTTTGCACGGGATTTAGGGGAACGATGGGGTTAACGAAGGCCCCTCAAGCCTCTGGGCTTAACTACAGCGACGTAACTTATTGGCGAGTAAATATACTCGTGCGATGTTGTACGCTATAGTTATTTGATTAATTTCGTATGAAGATATAGTGTGAGGGTACGAAGTACTGCAACTATCTTGAAATTTCTATCTCTCCATATTTATAAAATTAGAAAAGCCCACATTATTAAATTTTAACGATCCTAAATTCGCATCTCTTTCTACGTTAAAAGTCACTTGAATTTCACCATGACATCGCTACAAAATTAATTTACGGTCCAAACTGATTTTCTCCGAATAATTCTCGACTCTCCGTTCCCTTCTTTTCTCGTCAGACTGCCACTACAATAAAAAACGCGTGTTCTTGTATCGGTATAAAGAAAAAGAAAGGTGTCGAAAAGGTCGTTGCAGCAGGAGCGGTAAAAGGATCCGTCCAGCGTTGGATAGTTATTTTCAAATATAGGTACATTGATAATCCTCCATCAAAGATCTACGATAACCTTAAACGAGGCGATTGACGCAAAGTGACGAAAGAGGCGTGTAATATGCCTATAGCTTCTATATATCACAGATAACACGAGGTACCTAAAGCGATATAAAGCACGGCCATTTACTCTGACACTGGTGACATTCATTCACCGCGTTGTCGACGTTCGTTAATGGTGCAATTAATTCCTTTACACTTTTCATAATCGTAAATCAACGGATCGGTAGCAACCCAGAGAGAGAGACAGAGGAACGCGGGGACAGAAATAGACGCAGAGCGATACTTTGTAATATTTCTCCTACTTTAAATTACAAATATGATCACTTGAATTGATTTTATCTATCTTGTTATGAAGGATTGTCGTACGTGTAATGTACCTATATATGCAAAATGCGTCATAGGAATAAGAAAAGTGGTGATATACAACTTCAGCATTCCGTAAAAATAGTGATTATTAGAAATTTAGCATTTTTCGAATTTCAAAATTGCTATCAGATTTAAATCTTGCATATCGTTTTCATAACTTTGTCCTACAATAGCGAGAGACATCAATAGTGTACAAGAGTGGAACGATCTATTTTATACTTGTAACAAAACCTGTAAAGCCGTATAAAACACCTGTCGCGTAATTATACTAATAATATGATAGTTCTGAATAAATATTCGGTCATAAATAGTCGAACGTGATACCAATACCCGTTAGACAAAAAAAGACATCAAATTACAGTACTGATAGATTTCACAAAATGTGCAGCGAGTAAACATGCACCGAATCAAGTTAGTCAGGCAATTTATTGGAATAACTCATTTAGCGTGGCAACGTAAACGTAACTGTACTCCATCGTTACAAATGAACTTTTATTAAAATGCGCAGTCCACTACCCACAATTATTTCCAGTCTGATAATCACCGTGTCAAATAATGTAACGTCACGTACACATCATACTACAGCACTTTCACTAAATAAAGCGACACGTGTTATGATATCGACGGCCATGTTGCTACAATTAAAACGTGTCCTCCGTCGGCCACCCCTGAGAGATCAAACAAGGACGATGACATTGATTGGTCGAACTAGCTGCGTTTTCTGGCGAGGAACAGTCGCTAATTAGCGGTAAGTCGCGAGTGATTTAGGAAGGAAGGAATTATGGTTGACAGTCGGTGGTCCATTGGGGGAGAGGGCAACGAAGCAAAACACGTCGTGCAACGCACACGTATACGCAACCTGCGAACGCGAAGGGTGGGACGCAGGCCTGCGCCTAATTGCG